TCTTTATATTTGGCCCTGACGAGAGGTAAGCAAACCAGCCCTTTTGGCGTTTCGGCTGGGACCGTATGCTGAATGTTGGGGAGGGGATGGGGTCCCCAACGGTCGACGGTTTACTTCAACTCGGTTGGTACGATAGGAGAGTACTGACGCAAGTGGTGCAGCTGGTCCAGCAGCTCGCCAGAAGGGCTGGTTTGCTCACCCCAGGACTAAGCCTTGGAGAGGGGACGGACCCGTCCTCTCTTTAAGGCTTAGTTCTGAGGTGAGCACCAAATTGTGGCGGTTCTAAGGACCGAGTTGAAGTGGTCCGTCCACCGTCGGGGACTCCATCCCCTCCCCAACATTCAGCATACGGTCCCAGCCGAAGCAAAAGGGCTGGTTGTTACGTTCTCTGACGAAGGTCGCAAGTCGAACAATTGTTTGCCAATATTGTGGGTTCAAAAACCTGACTGAGAATACTAGAAACTGCCAAGATTTACTGAAAGTCGAACATGGATATTACAGGAGTTATTGTAGAACACGACACGGCAGTGACCGTGGGGTGACCAAAAGGTAAGGTCACGTGAGCTGAAGGACTTTATTTAAGCCGATGCATCGTTCAGTTGAGGATTGCCTGCAACTGCATAGTGATCTGCCTAGTCAATCATCAGCACGACTCAAATGAACGCCTTGCAGCTGCAACTGTGCGGGATATACGCTAGGTAGAAAACCAATAGTTCCTTCGATAATTTCAGCAAATTTCTGTGGGAGTGGGGGAGAGAGAACACCTAGTGAGTGTAAAGCCACCTATACCCACCCCTGAGCTCTCCCGCTCTTTTGTTACTTGCGCGGACGTAGTGTTGCATGGCCTACGTCCACCCTCCCTCCCCCATCGCCACCCAATTTGCGCTTGAAGGTGCCAGAATGTTGCAGAAGTTGGGAGGAGAGGGCTAAGAGTGACTTCGTCAAAAGGCTTGATGATAGCTTAAATCGCAACATAATCGTTGCCAAAACAATGGAAACCCTGTCATTAGATAACGGCTTTTTAATCTGGTTGACGTTTCGACGTGATCATCTTCTTCAAAAACCCAAACGTGTTTCGAGTTAAGGAGACGAGCGCTATCCCATTGACGCCTTATCCTGACAGTTCCGATGATGTTTTCGGAAGTTCCACCTGAACACTTGAAAGGCGCAATAAGATAATCTAGACTGGAAAATATACGATGACAGTTCTAAAAAGGGATACGGTTCAATCAGGTGTCCCCCAAGAAGCCCGCCGCGCGGCGACGCAGATGCGGCAAAGGACGAGTCGCAGCGCGTGCTGTGCGATATGAGACGTAGTATGGTACACTCTATTTAACCTGACGCCTAACCGCTACAGTATGCGCTGCGACTCGTCCTTTGCCGCGTCTGCGTCTCTTTTCGCCGCGCGACGGGCCTCTTGGGGGACACCCGGTTTAATCTTATTGTTAGGAAGGAACAAATATGGTGCGCTTGGAATGCTTGGGGATGGTGGAGAAGGCGTAATGGCGAAAAAAATGAAGCAGTCCATCAAAGTCTGTAGCTGGCAGCTACTTACCCAGCGTACTTTAATTTAAGCCCGTCATTCTTTAGACCATGCCCACAAGGCTAAAGCCAGCCCCGTCTTTCTTTAGACCATGCCCACAAGGCTAAAGCCAGCGAAAGAACCCTTACTGTGCTTTACGCGCTGGATATTCTGCTCTGACGAATTCCTTCTTTTTGTGATCTGTAGCCGCTTGAATCCATCGTATCTTTTTACTTTTTTTCGTTTGGGTAGCCGGTTCGAGTTCCAACTGCCAGAGCCGCAACTAATTTATGGGACAGCGCAATAATTCACGTGCATAAAAACAAACTATTTCGCTGGCGCAATCGTTCATTCTAAGCTTGGTGACACTAAGTTGCACAGCCCCTAATAACACATTTTTTGGAAATAGTTGAATGCCGACAAAAAATATAAGGCAAATACTTTGGTGGATTGCAAGCCGAGCCCCTAATGTCGCGTGCAGTACCCCATAGCCTTAAAGACACAGTCGGCGAACCAAATCGTTGTGCTATTAATATCAATTAGAGCAAAGGAGAAGTGAAGTCATGACGAGAAAAAGTAAAAGCACCCTGAAAAACTGAAAATCTCTGTGAGACTTGAACTGCGGAAAGCCGGAGAGGCACAGCCGTGCCAGAGAAATTCGCAAGAGAGCACCTCGTCCGCGAGAGGGTGCAGACACCACGTAGCCTGCGATTTATGACATGAAAATGGCAGCGGTCGCAGTGGTCAAGCAAAAGCATTAGCTTCCCTTGTCGTGCAGTTTTAGTCGGCAGCAGTACCCATCACTGTAATTTAGGGGTCCTGTTCATTCAGCAAAAGAAGCACTTCTATAGGATCTAGATGGCGACGGCCTTGCCTTCAGAAGTCAATAAAGTTGGATGATATAACGTGAAGGCTTCTGAAAAAGAACTCATCACGAACGGTGAGGAAATAGCTATTTAAGGTATGGTCTCCATACCCTAGACAAGAACAAACATTCGTATAACTTCGTAAGGCAGTATGGCCACTCTCCTTCGGCGTCTCGAAGCAAGCGGCCAACGAGCTGTTCTTGTTTAAAACAAGCGTGGAGGAGATAGGGAGTATTGTGCACATTCTATGACGTGGAGACGGGCAAGTCTGAACAGTTCTGTAAAGCCTGAACGGCTGGCCTGCGAACGTTGACCAAAGAGAGAATACAAACTATTTCACTTAATGTATGAAAATAAATAAAAATTAAAGATAAAAAGGATAAAGCATTTGCCGTTGATCAATCCCTTTTTGGGATGCGGCACGCATTCTACTTCCATTTGTACATTCGTAGTGGCGTTTGAATGCGATGTGGCCTATACAATGACTTGCGGGGGCCAGCCGATGTACAAGTCAGTGTTTTTTATCCTCCCAGACAAGTCTGGTACCAATTAACCGACCCCGGAGGGATGGAAGGCTTGGTTGGCCCGGGCGACTCACGACCCAGGATTTGATCCCCGGACCGCTCGCGTGGTAAGCGTGCCACTTGCCACTACACCACTTCCGCCCAAATAAGTAAAATTATATATAAATAATACTATACAAATAAATAAATTACAATAAAAAATAAATAATAAATAAACAAATAAATGTATGAAGTGATGCCTTCAACCCGTACGTATAAAAAGTACCGTTGTAGAATGCCTTCGAAGGCTGAGATATAAGGAAGAAGCATTCAATCATCCACACCAAGTACCATCTTTAACAGCAATCACCACTAAATTACACTAAACCTGCCTGGTAACTTCTGACGGCGTGACCCCTCCGAAAAATTCAGCCATTGCGCGTTCTAGCTAAGTTAACTACTGACCACGAAACCGTCAGGAGCTGCACTGGACTACGGACGGAGAGAGAGCTGTGGAAAGAACCTAAAGGTACTACTAGGTACGCTAATTGATTGTCAAGAGGTACAGCAGTGAAAAAGAGAGAATGTGAGCCTGCTGTATGTGGGGTATTTATTTTGACAGTCATTTTAGTTAGTCCCGAACGAGTACTCACGGAATTCTGCGCGAGCTCTCTGTTCTGCCTCTCTATCGCGGATACTGGAGCACAGACAGACGGACAAAGGCCGGCATTATTTCACTGAGGCGGTCGTCGAAATGACAGCGAGCAAATGAACTTGGCTCATGGGGGCACTTGAGTGAGCTGCCTATTAAAACGTTCCACGAATTCTGGGCAATCAGTTATTTTCAGAGCTACTCCATCAACGCAACTTCATGAATACAAAAATAAACGCCAGCTTCTCTCTTCTTGCAGCTCGGCCTGTCAGTTGTAAGTTTCCGAACTTATTGATTCGGCAATGTAGTAGCGTACAGTCTCGAACTCACTTCTGTATATTCACACAAAAGCATTCAAAATTCTGCTGGCTTAAAACTATACGGAAAGAAATATTGATCAAAATCAAGGGGTTCTTGAGCTTCATTGTATTCATTTCCTTGCCTTCAATTCAGATGAAACTTTGTATTTGCAGACCTGAGGAAGGGCTTAAGGCGCGAAACGTCGTGCCATAAAGCAGTTTGAAGGGTTTAATCTGGAATGATGGCAAAGGAAACAAACATATAATCATGATTACGAGCTTACGCTAGTAGGAAATACAGGGGGGGGGGCAAAAA